GTCCCGGGGACCAGGAAACACCGGGACACAGCCGGGCCACCAGGAAAACCAGCGCGGGGTCACACCGCCACCCACGCACGAGGGCGGTCCCGCGACGCCTGGGACGCCGGCCGTTCCCGGCCAATCCCTGGAGCGGGCCCCACACCCCGGCCCCGCCGCCAGGGCCGGCGTGCCGTCCAGCCAGCCCTTCCTCCATCCGTCCGTCCGTCCGTCCATCCACGACAGATCCATCTTCCATCCAAGTCTGACCCCGAGGGCTCAACATCCTGGGGACACGCTCTCGAGCGAGGCGGCCCAGACCGGGCCCACCACACCACCACCGGCTGTGGCTCGGGGGCGAGGGCGGGCGCGACAGGCTCCTCCTCACCACAGCTGCGGGGCTGGGGGAGCCGGGGCCGACCGGGCGTCGCGCCCCGACCACCCCCTTTCCCCCTGGGCTCACACCGCGGGGCCGGCCGCGCGCACACAGCACACACGCACGGCCGCCCCCCACTCGCCAGACACCCGGCGGGGCCCAGCGGGACCCTCCCCCAACTCGGAGGGGGGAGGCGCAGGCCGCAGTAGGCAACAAGCGGCACGCGGCCCCACCGCGGGGCCGGCGCAACCATCACCACCCCCCCCTTCCCACGGAGGGGAGGGGGGGGGGGCTTTTCTGCCCACGTGCTCTGGCAGTCGCCACGGTGGCCACTGCGCACTCGGGAGGGGCAGCGTCTGGGGGGTCCGGTACCCCAAGGCTCCCTCTCAGATCGCTAGAGAAGGCTTTCTCACCGAGGGCGCGCCGTCCCTCACCCGGTCGTCTCTCCTTCGGGCCCCACAGAGGCACACCGGGAGCCGCCAGTCCTCAACTGGGCGGGAGGGGTCTGCGGTACAGGTAAGCAGATGACCACGCACAGGAGCGCGTGCGCGGCCAGGGCCCGGGCAGAGCCCGCGCCCCGCCCCCTGCAAGGCCTCATCCGTCAGCCTCCGCGACGAGGGGAGCACACAACGCTTCTCTCACCGCCTCGACCCGCTCCCACCCAGAGAGAGCCACTCATGGGACACACGCACACCACCGTGGTGGGGACCCGAGGAGGACACAGGGTTAAGGGAAAACGGCACCACCGCTCGGCCTCGGGCACCTGAGGGACGACCTGGAGCACTCCAGGGGCACCACCGAGGGTCCAACAAGGCACGCTCACACACCCGTGCGGGGGCGTGTGGCGTGGCAGCGGCACAGCCCTCCCCACCGCGGGGAGGGCCGCTCGCGGGGCAACACGCCAGGAAGGCGAAAGCAAGCGCATCTGCTGTGTCTGAAGACCAACGGCCCCACCAGACACCCCAAGGCGGGGGACGGGAGACCGAAGGTCAGGGCCGGAGGCCTCACCCCAACACCCCCTGCCTTCCTCACCCTCCCCAAGGGGCAAGGGGGGAAAGACAGGCGAGGGGCACCGCGGACAGACCGAGAAGAGCGGACACGTTCACTGGGAACGCCCGTCCCTCGTCCGGCACGGCTTAGGCCCGGCCCGGGAGAGCACGACCACACCACATCAATCAGTTGAGCCAAGGTGGGGGGGTGGGGGTGGGGAGAGGGCACAGGCGAGGACAGCCACCAGAAGGGCCCGCTTTAAGCCTCACTGGCAACCGGCAACCTCCGGCAACCTTCCCCCTCCCCGCCACCAACAACCCCACACCTCAGGCGAGGGCGACCGACGACCCCAGGAGGAGAACGCCTGACACGTGGCACGGAGCCTACAGGGCGGGGGTCGTCCCAGCCACCACCGGCTGCCCGCAGCGGGGAGCGCAGAGTCATCAATCAAATCAAAGACCCACACCGCCTCGCCCCACCGCCCTCGGGCCGCCCTGGGACCAGAGGTGGCACCACGAGCCGGGTCGGCCAGACACACCACACGGGAGCCGGCGCACAGGGCCCAGGCGGGCGGCTCCAGCGGCAGAGGCCAAATCAGGCGCCGGCTGGCGGCCCAAAGGCCCAGAGCCCCGCGTGCATCCAGAGACCCAAAGTTCTCGGCGGCAGACACCAAAGCAGACCGTGTCAGCACTTACCTGGTGGCAAAAAAGACCTATTTCGGGCGACACAATGACAGCAGCCGACAGCAGGGCCCATCTACGACTCGCAGGGAGGGACCCCGGAACCTTGACCCGGCCACCTGTTCCCAGCACTACCCCACGAACACCAGGCCTGGAGCTATCGGGGGCCATCTGGTCGACTTGGGGGGGGGGGGAGGGGGAGGGGGGAGGGAGGGGGCCGCGTGGTGGCAAAAGTGGGGACGCGGACGCCAAGGGAGAGGGAGCTGGCCGGAGACGCCCTCCCCGCTTCGCCCACACGCGTAGGCGGACCGGTCCGTCCGAGTCTCCGAACGGGGACTTGGCTTCGATGTGCATAAAGAAAAAAAGAAGAAAGCAACGTCAGCGAGGCGCCTCCAACAAGACGAGCCGGCCCCGACCAGGGACCACGCCCGGGGCCCAGACCGTCCTACACGGGGCACCCAGGACGGCTCGAGCCGGTCCCCACCCACCTCCTGACTGACCGGGATTCAGGGAGGTTGGGGAGGGGTGAGAAAAAGTCGCGTCCGACGACCGAGACCCACGAGGGCACGCTGTATGGTCGAGCGCGCCCTCCCCGGCCACCCGCGGGAGCAGGGCCCGGTCCATCCACGTCTCCGGACCTATCGGGACTTTGAGAAAGAAAAGGCATGCGTGCCGGGAGACGCCTCAGGCGACAGGACCCCACCGGGGGACCGCACACGCGCCCGCGCCGGCCGTCCTCTCCGGGTCAGCCCTCACGACTCCGGCGGGCGGGTCCCCACCTGGGGAGTGCGACGCGGAAAACACCTCTGTCAGAGAGAACCCGAGGGCCCGGACCCAGCCGCGCCCTCCGCCGACCTCCACGCCACAGTCCGGGCCGGTCCCCACCTCCGGAGCGGGGCCGAGGGCGAAGCACACGCTCCTGAGGGCGACCCGGGAGGAGGCCGGACCGCCGAGTCCGAGTCCAGGCGCTCCGGGCAGGGAAGACCCTCTCCCTGCCCACCGCGGCGGGCCGGCCCAGGTAGGGTCCGGCCGGTCCGTCTCCACGGCCGGAGGGGCACGGGGAGATGCTGGTCGACCCGGCCAGGCCGCCCCAGAGCCCCGATCTGGAGCGCCGCGACAGTCACCCTCCTCAGAAGCCTAGAGAACCAATCTCCGCAGACAGCAGGACGTCCCCAGGCCTCGGTGTCCCCGGGACTGTCACCGCCAGCGTAGCCGGTCTCTGAGAGCTCTGCCTCGGGCCCGGTGGCTGAGTCACAATCCTCCTGAAGGCCTCGCCGAAGCTCCGGAGGGGGAGGGACAATATAGAAGCGGCCGCCAGGTGGCTCCTGACAAACGGCTCGACCGTCCCGAGGACGGGTCGCTGTCGCCGGGCGCCGAGGACGCCACCGCGCCGGCCTCCCAAACGCCCGAGCTCGGCCCGGAGCCTCCTCCGCCTCCGAGCCACACGACGCGACGCGACCCCGGCCGCAGAGGAAGGGAGAGGAGCTGGGAACTATCTCCTCAGGAGGCTGCCCCGAAGGAGACGCGCTCCCCCCCCCCCCCCACACACACACACACGCGCGATTCCAGGGTGGTGGGGGGACGTTCCACGGAGACGCTGGCGGCGGGGGCCCGGGGGCCGAGAGAGGGGCAGCAGTGACATCCCGGGCTCCCCCGGACCCCCTCCCCCCAAAAGAGGGAGGGAGGGGAGGAAGGAGGGAGGGAGGGAGGGAGGGAGGGAGGGAGAGAGGGACCGACCGGCAAAGCGAAACCAGGCAAGCGCTGCTCGGAGAACAAAGCAGGACTTTCGAAAGCAGACACAGACACAGACACAGACACGCAAGCCCAGGAGCAAGAAAGGAAACGAAGGAGACACTCGGACCCCCAACAAGAGGAAACAAAACTCAACCTGGGTAGAGACCGTGACCAAGTCCAAAGACAACAAACACAAGCATGCGCGGGTGGGTGGGGAAAGTGCACTTGAGGTCAGGAGAACATGGATTTCAAGATCACTGGCCACAAACACCGGAAAGGCGGGCGGCCGGGCGGTCTCGGGTGGCAGGGCTGCGGGGGGTGGGGTTGAGGGAGGGGCGCGGTGGGGAGGACCGAGTCAATAGGGATCCACTAAATAAACCCCGGATTCCATGACAACAGCCAAGTCAATGAAGACATAACTTTCTGAAGTAGCACCTAAACGAAATGAAACAAAACCACCAGGCAGGAAAGTCAAGTCATAGAACTGCTCTGGCAGCTTAAAAGTCAGAGGGAGGGAGGGAGGGAGGGGGAGAGAGAGAGAGAGACAGAGAGAGACAGAGGCAGAGACAGAGAAAGAGAGAGAGAGAGAGAGAGCGCACATGTGCATATACGCATGTACGTATGTATACGGACACATATTGGCATCTATATATACGTGCACACATGCGTCTAAACAAGTCCGTACGAAGGGCATGCATGCTCACGTACGCGCATGTGTCTGTGTGTGCACGTATATGCCTAGGCGTTTATAGTGTGCATGGTTGCTTGCGTGTATATACGCATGCACAGGCATCTATCTATACACACACGTACACGGATATGCACGCGCATGAATGCACATGCTCATATGTGCCTATACGTAGATATACATACCTACATTTAAACAAACACGGGCGTGTAAACGCATATAGATGCACACGTGTGTGTACGTGTGGTGTATACGCACAGGTGTGTGTGCGCGTATATGCGGACACGGACGTGCATGCTTACATATGCACACATATCCGCCTGTGTATATGCACACGTGTACGTACACGCGTATACATACATATGTACGCACGCCTAGACGTCTACATATAGCGTATATACGTCCACACAGACGTACGGCTGTATATGTGTATATATACGCATGTACGTATGTACAGTTGCAAGTGTGTGTATACAGTGCATATACACAGATTGATGTGCATGGATGCGCACACACACGCGCATGTGCATACGCGCGTGTGCATGTGTGTGCG